TACAACTAGCATGAATGCTTTTAACATTCACGGGACAGATGTGAAAGTCCATTTCCAACCATCTACAGGGGTCGTTTCTAGGGCTGAAAGATTCTAAATTGGTTGCTTTACCACTGCCCTTGTTCAATTGCCATGCCTCTCTTCTTCCAGCCTCAATCTCTGCAGGCCGTTAAGGACTAGTAACCCCAAAACAATGCACACTGAAATCTGGGCTTTATTCAAACTGAAACATCAACAAACCCAACAACCATCTTGTCCTGTATTTTTGGTTACTGAGTTGAAGTGTAACATCCCTAGGAGATTCAGAGACTGAGAGGATACTAGGTAATGAAAGCTTCAAACGGCCTTTAAGGACCTGCATCTTCTGGATTCCCCACCTTTGTCACAAAGAGGAAATTCCCCATATATGGCCCAAGCTGACAAGCAGACTAGGGTCACATTTCAGTTCACGATTTTTGGCAAGCCCAAGCATTCAGACATCATGAGTCAGTGCTCCAGAAATCATTGGGGTTTATAAACCAATAAATCTATTTCAATTTGATTTTTTTTTAATTTGCCTTGGGTTTGTTGGGTTTTTTCCCTCAATCTTTGCAGTACACAGGCATCGTCACATTTTAATTTTGCTTCTCTCTAACTGGGAGGAGCACTTTTTTCCATTCTGGGTTTGTTTGCTTTGTAAAATAACAGACAAGATTTTCATATTAGACTAAATCCTGGCATTGGGGCATTAAGAAAAAAAACATACCAACTATCATGGAAGCTGGGAACAGATACTACACTGTCTTGTACTTTCACACAGCCCTTCAACAACAATGAACACTTATTTTTTAAATAAAATCTCAAAACATCTTCACTTCTGTTCTCAGATCCCAAACAAATAATAACTTATCTGGCATTTCAGCACAAGCAGACATGACTTCTGTGGCTAAGCAGCAGCCTGCAACACAATCTGTTCCACCAATAACCTGATAACATCAACATGAACTTTCTTCCATTTTGAGTTCTACTTTTCTCAGTTCAATAGTTCAGCAGAAACGGCCCCATTTTTTGATTACACACACAAAACCACATACCACTTATTCCTATTTTAAAAAAAGAGACCTGAAGCTCAACAAATTCCATTGGGTAATTACTTTCAGATTAGTAACAGGATAAATTAACATGGGACAATTGGGGCTGAGGATTTTTGGTTTCAGTTTCTAGCTCTGTTACGGACACTCTGTGCATCTGGGCCACTTCAATTCTCTGTGCATCAGTCTTCCGTACATAAAATACAGATAATACCTCATCAGGGAATTGAATCAAGTTAATATTTAATTTCTTCAAAGCAGTAGTCATAATGCTGTTAAATACTTTCAGAGAACTATCACAGCTCACAGAAGTAGGGCGCTTCTGGGAAGAAATGTGTATAGTGAATGACCTCCTTGCACTTTTTCAGAGCATCCTAACAATTTAACATTAGAACAAAACACAAATATTAAAAAAAAAAAGGGTAAGACAAGATTATTTTGAAGCCAACTTCATGTTTCACACAAGTGCAAAAGACAATGCAAGTCCAGGTAGTTTTTTGGTCTTTTTTTGTTGGGGTTGGTTTGTTTGTTTTAACTCTTTACCAGTTCACAGTGAAAATTATGGTAACATGCAGAATAAAACATTGCTCAAAAAGTTTGTTTTTACTTAATGGGACATTTTAACTTAAAGTCTCTCTGACAAATGTGGCCGTGTCAAAAAAAAAAAAAAAAAAAGACATTTTTGGTACTTGAAACAAGAATAATGCCTGAAGGAGGCAGCACGCTATCAAATTGCTGTTTAGAAAAACATCTAGGATTTTAGATTTCAAATCTTTTGTGGATGTTGTAAAAATTCCTTTTCATTTAAAATTTCAGAAGGTTCGATAAATACTTTTAGACTGTTTCCTCCATAATCAAGGATTAAAGCTGATCAGTCAAGTATACAGTAGACAGTAACACTTGATATCCTTTTCTTCACATCTGTTTTTATTAGGAGAATTTTTAGGAAATACTACCACGTATTACACATTTAATGTCAAGCTTGCATCCGTTATTTCGGGCAGAGCAATAAAAGCCTTAGCTTGTATTATTAAGAGCCACATCCAGAAGTTAAAAAAAAAAAAACGAGCTTAGGCCTCCATAACAGTCTCTTACCAAATTACTTAGGTTTTGAGCAGAACACCACTTGGAAAACACTGATGGAGAGACAGGACTCATTCCAAGAACGATCATCTTACTTCACTTAGAGAAAGTAAAGCCTTTCATGAATTAGGCTTGGGTTTGGCCTACATTCCGTTGTATGAAAAGGCTTCATTATATGCAGTTGAACACATTGTTTGAAAATGTGATACAAATAGCATTTAACACAGCAAAAGGTGAACAAACTAAAATGATAAAACTGTATTAAGTGTGCTATATATTATCTGTAAAATACACACATTCTGAAAATCTTTAAATAGGTTTTCACCCACGGAAGAGTTCAAAGATGGTATCAGTACCACTCATGACTATCAGATAAAGCTATCTGCAGATTTAAGATGAATCAGAAGGCAGACGTCAGCAGATAAAAAGAAATACTGCAACTACTTTGTTTTTAAGTGAGTTACTTTGCTATATACAAGTAGTCATTTACTGGTGCTTTGAATTCCAACTGCATTCTCTATGCACATTTTGTAGGCATTGCAGTTCACTTCTGAAGCTCCAGCAGCAAGCTAAACGACATATTTCAATTCTTTTCAGGAATTTCTTACTTCACTCAGAATGACATTCTTGATTTAGTTATTTCCATTGCAAAATCAGTCTGTGATCTGTCTTCAAGTCAGAGGAGCAAGTAACAAGAAGCAAAAAGTATAAATAACAACAGAAACAGAAAGAATAAGTTTGTCAAAAAGAAGGCTGAGGTTTTGGGCTTTGTTTTTATTAAATGACTGCATCAACTCTGTCTCGCTTCTCTTGTGCGTATGAGACGAGATCTTACTCCTCTTACCAGAGAGCCCTTTGCACAAAAAGATGCACAACGACAGACTAGATTTGACTAAGCCGACAAGGAAACACATGATCACATGCAACAACTGATAAGCCTTTCAATCCGAGAAACATAAGGTATGAATTATGCAAGTATCAGCCTCTGACCGGAAGAAACCTGCGTTCTGAGCTCCGAGAGCATAAATCAGTCTCTATAAAAACACCAGCTTCAATTTCTACTTTTTTGATTATACAGTCAAAAGGGATTTTGAAATCTACACTTTATATGGAATCTGAAAAATAAATGGTTTCCAAACTATGTTGTAATGCTTGTGTAGTGGCCTCAAGACAGCCAGTAATTTAGACAGCTGTGCGACTGGCCACAGAAGCTGATTTTAGAAATCGCCCTTCTTTGGAACAATTGAAACTTTCTCCAGGACGAAGTCCGCACACAGAGAGCAGTGTTTCCCTGCAAGCATGTAACAGTTTCATTATTGTTTAACTACCAAAAAACAGCTCCAACAATCTATCAAGCTTGACATTTTATCCGTCTCTGCTGCTAGCCCAGAATACAGGGCATATATAGGAAGAGGTTCAAGGATTCAATAAATTATTTTGTTAATCTAAACAGAGAAACATTTCCCTTCTTTTAATGATTCATTTGCCATTTTTAAAACCTCTTCAGGAAACCATGGGCCTGTTTGTCCTCCAAATTATCAAATCCAAGTATCTATAAATAAATCTATTCCACCAGATGAATACAAGCTCCATCTTAAGATATGTATAAAACAAATTCAAAGGCAATCCGATAGAGAAGGGATTCCTCACTGCAACAGAGCAGCACTACCAGTTGTGGTTCCAGCCCAGCCGTGATTATTGTAACATCAAACTACAGCAGAGTATTAACTTGCTGCTCACCAACCCGCCCATCCCGGCAACGCCACTGCTCAGCAGGTTTCCAAATAACTGTGGCTCAGGCAAAGGCCTAAGAAGCACCAACATATTCATGGAACAAAACTTACCAATGCATGATGCAACCTCGCGGAGTATGTCCTCAAACACAACATTGGAGAAATTATTCGTCTGAGTGACTCTAACAACTCAAAGTAGCTGGGTGAATGAAACGTGGGAGCCATTCACTGATGCCATTGCTTTCTGAGCAAGGTATTTTGACATCAGCAAAAAGTGGCGTCACATCAGTTTCAGTCTGGACTTCCACAGGATGCAATATTATGGTTTCTGACTCATTTGGGGAGCAAGCCAAACCAGTATAAGCTCATGCACATAGTAAGTGGCATTGATTTAACGATGGCACTTGTGACATTGCAATTTGAAATTATCCGTGTATATATATAGAATATACAATGCCCAAAGGAATTATCCTTCTGCAGTAGAGGTTACTATGCAACAAGCTACTCCCAAAAGAGAGTATTTTAAATTTGCCTGTTTAAAATCTCACTTAACATCAGTCTAGAGGCTAAACTAAAAGACTCCAAGCATATGCTGCTTAAATATATTCTTATAAGCGTATCCCACAACCTTCTGAATATAAATAAGGAGGTGGCAGCATTAAAAAAAGCTGGTGTTAAATTAATATTTTAGTCTGCACTGAAATACAATGTGGAAATTCCTATTCCAAGACTATTTGGCAGAGAAGCCAGAGGGCATTAGAGAAGGAAGCCTAATTAATATCTTGGAGTAAAGTGGAAACCTCAAGAGCAATTAATGTGAAGAATTCGTTGATTTTACAGGCACTGAGAAGAATAAACAGTGTCTCAGAAAGCAACAATTCTTTTTAAAGAAAGTCCCATATGGGAATGTAAATTTAAAAAGCCAAAAAGGGCTTTCAGAGGTTAGAATAAGCCATCGCTCAGTTCTGAGGAAACCAGCTGAGAAAGAAGGGAGAAACTAATTCAAATTTTGAATTCTTGATCTGACAGTCATGCTCTGTTTCTTAAAGAAAACTAATCTTTTAACCTTCCAATGTTCTTTGAAGATTGAATAACCAACTTCAGAGGGACATACCATCAGGTGGTTAGAAGACTTGGCATGCAGACAAGTTCTGTTTCTGACATCAATTCAGCAGTGATGCGATTCTCCCCACCTGTGAAACAGAGATTACAGTTATTCATCCCTGCAAAATGTTCCGTGCTCCCTGAATGCCAGCTGGTGCAAGTTCAAAGTACTAATTTCCAGCTTCCTGTAATGGCCATCCCTGGGAAGCGGAGGATATCAAGTGTGATGGGGAGACACAGATAGGTACTATCAAGACTAATGACTGGAATTACTTTGGGGAGCAGGAGACTGGCTGGGGTTTCGCAGTGGAAGCGGGCGATCAGGGGAGGGCTGGAGAAACATTTGCACCACGCAAATACATTTAAGCGCAGAGCACAAAGCGCAGGCGGATAAATAGCAGTGTCATCGCAGCGGCGCAGGCCTTACCACAGCATTGACCGTAACGCTTCCCGAGAAGTTAGATCAATACTCAAGTATTTAGCCCACACCAGATTGCTAGCAATATTCAGGTAATTTAAAGCCATGCTATGCTTGGAGTCAGAGCTCAGACTATAGAGAAGTACTGAGCTCCCTCGGTTTTTACTACCACGTACCAACAGGTCCTCCTTCCCTGGTCAGCAGCAGTTCACACGCAGTTGTGTCCAAAAAAGGGACATGTGCACACAATTATCTGCATCTCACATTATCCTTCTGCCAGAAAAGTGTTTTATTAAGCACCAAGCACTTGGTTCAACGTACTTTCTGATTTCTTATCTTCGGATCAGGCTCTGTATCCCTCAGGACTGGTTAAAGGCTTTAGAGAAGAGACGCTCTGAGATATCTTACATATATATGAAAATGCACTTTTCCTATAAGGGATGGGAAGGTAGCCTAAACCTAATTAAACACAATTTTTCCTACGTGTATTCCAGCGAAACCAACACAGACTAGATGAGGACAGCATTTTACCTGGCTAGCCGTGAGGACGCAAAGCTGCAGTACTGGGTCAGACACACAGCCTGTCTAGCTCTATAGCCTGCCTCCAGAGGCAGGCACACGGATATAAGAACACCACAGCAGATGACTGCGTGAAAATCTGCTTACACCCTTCCACCACGCAAAAGCTGGTTCAAAGTCTAAAGCACAAGTTTTAATAACCCTTCCATATATAACACTGGAGATTCAACTCAAATCACACTCTAGCCTGATTGAAGAGTTTACAATCTAAGTTGTTGTAACAATAAACCATGGTACAAAGTTGCATAACAAGTGAAAATTACACAATTAAAAAAAAAACCTAAACAAAACAACAACAAAAAACCCCACAAAACCATACTGAAGTCAATGACAATAAAGAGAAAACTGAAGGCCTGGAGAAAAAAAAAAAAGAGATATTTCAGTCAAACTCAACTAGTGACCACCAACCCCAAAATATAATTCATATATATTATTCCTTTGTACTCTCATTGCAGAGTATTGCATTTGGCTCTCATTTTAAGTTGACTCCTAAGAGCCCAGTCACAGGTGCCTGCCAATGAGAAAGACTAAGCCTCACTGAAAGTCAGCCTACTTTTTCTACTCTACAATTAAACACAGTATTTAAATGATGGCTTTAAAACTAATCCAATTCAGCAAAAACTTGAGCAATTAAGCATTAAGCCATGACCACCAATGTCAAGACAATCAGCTTTTAATTAAAAGTTCAATTGCTATCAGCCGAGGAGACATGCAAACCGCAGAGTGCTGCAGCCGGGTAACTCTGCACCGGGATTCACACAGCCAGAGAGAATTGCCCATAATGGAAAATACGACAATAGCCTAAGTAAATTGTTTTGTTTCATTAGACCCAATTGTTCTACCAAAAGCAATTATGTTTACAAAGAACAAATACAAGATCCCTCCCCATCGCTGTGAACACAAAACGTGTTAAAGAGATAACAGTATTTGATGGGTGGTGGTAAGTAAATGCAAGGATCTGGAATTGGTAAGGAACAACATTAGAAGCTCACAGCTTTCTGTTCCACTTCTCGGCTCTGGAAGAACAAGGTAACAGTGGAAATGATCACAAAGGGTAAATACTCTTTTTGTTTGTGTCACATAATCATGTATCTGCCTTAATGATCATTTATCTTAAAATATGAGCTTCAAAGTTTTGAAATACAACCCGCTACAATGTAAACACACAAAAAATGCCAACTTATAATGCACCTTTCATTTACCATCCTAATGAAATGGAGAACTGAAAAAGCATTTTGTAAATCCAGTAAGTTCTTTACCGATCCCATAATCAGGTTAGAAAGAACAGAAAACTGCCACAAGTTCCTACACTGCCATGAAACGGTTCTCCAAAACCAACATCCAAGACCTCCCGTGCTACCCGCGGAAGATACATTCTGTGTCAGAGAGGAGGAAGTGAGCTCAAAGAAAACACAAACAAAACCATTTTATGTCTCAGCAAATTAAACATTACCTTGAACGTATCTTAATCAAAGAACCATAAAACTAAAACATTCCTATCTACGCTTTAATATTATACTTACCTCTACAGTATCTAAGTAAGCCTGGCCATCCTCGCAGTGCTTAAAAACACGTGAAACGATCAAATGCAACAGCTTATTTATCATACGGTCATAACATTGAGCACATTCATCCTCAGCTGTTTTGCCAAGTCCCTGATCTGTAAAGGCTCAGACTGGTCTGCATGCATGATCTCACTGCAGAGAACTGACATCCATTAACCTGCAATCACATGCTGAAATACTGGTAAGAAACCAACTTGACGATACGTCAACACTTTCTCCACAGGAAACACCTTGACCAGTTTACAGGAACAAACTGTTCTGAAGAACACTTGAGTACTTTTATTTTCTGAACTCCTTTTGCCTTCTGTGGCAAAGGAAGAACTCTTTATCACTTTCACTTTGCCATACACCCCCGATTTTGAGCAGAAGCGGGGCAGAGTTCCTCATTAAGAAAATAACTTGGGTCCTTGCCACCAAGGAAGCATCGCCCACCCCAGCTACACTGCCACCATACCAAACAAATTAGTAACGCGATAAAACGCAAAGAGACAGCAATTTAAGCAAAGAGCTGTACTGAAGGCTGGCGCTTATCTGGAATTCCTCAGTTCTCATAGCATTTTGAGCAGAATAACCTACTGAACCTCAGAGCGCCTTTCGGAGCAGAACTCAGAAAAGGAAAGAGTTCCTGAACACCACTTTCTAAACAAGAGAAGAGAAGCTGTACCCGAGTCGCACCCACCCTCGTTAGGGAAACCCTGCAAGCGCTCCCCGTGAGGGAGCCCCTTCACCCCATCTCCCCAAAACTAAAATCCAGGTGCTCACAGCCCCTTTCCTGCCTCTCCCTGTCTCC